AGGTGGCGTGTAGGTGAGCGGTAGGTGAGATGTGGTAGGTGGCGGTGCCACATTACAAAATTACCTTTTTACCTTAGTTCATTAATTGGGGGTCAAAATAACAATATAGAAGTGAAATCAGGAATAAAACATTAAAATTGTTATTGGTATTATTTTTTTTTTAAAATAAAGCATATGCTTTTATGCATATAGATTATAATAGGATAATAATACTAAATTATTATATAGTTAATACATGAGAACTGTACGATATGCAAGTAAATGCTATGTGAAAAAAAATGTATAAAATATTAGATGAAATATTATTTCTTTAACTTTCTTTCCCCTATTTTCGGACCAATTTTTAAAAGTTATGAATGTGTTGAAAAACATTTGGTTTGTTTATTATTTACTTCTTGCTTTATTTTGTATGAAACATTAGTTTTCTTAACGGTATTTCATGGAAGGTAAATAGCTAGGCTCAGCAAATAATGTCATATACTGTAAAACTTCTGTTTTGTGGTATTCAAAGAATATTCGATAAATAGTGGCATTTTGTGAATGGTATTGTTTTCAAGACTTTTTTTGTAGATTTTATTGTTGTCACAATATCTGGACTTTATAGAACTAACTGAAAAATAAGAGGGAGAAAGGGCAGGATAGAGAGAGAAACGTTTGATTTATTATTTCAAAACAATGGTAAACAACTAGATTTGCATACGTATGCAAAAAGTGCAATACTAGACAAAATATCATATAGAAAATCATGTTGTTGAATTCAAAAATATCCGGAAAATAGAGCTAAGAAATAGAAAATTCTACTAGAAAGTGATTGGAGAAAGAGATCATAGTAGGGAGCAGTAAAAGAGAATGTAACAGTATTACAAAAATACATATTGGTCCCTCATCGTTGACTTTTCAAATGAATTTTTTTAGTAATTATAGGGTTATTAGTATATAATAAGATCATGAGACTCATTCGATCTGTAAACCTGTAGGTAGCCTTCACTCGATCGATATCTAATTTGAATGAGAACCTCCTGTCAATCGTTTTGGGGGTTGATCCCCTCTCTGTGGAAAATCTCCCGGCACATTCCGTCGATCACTCGAACAAGGCGCCTCATTTGCTAACATCCAGCCCAAGACAATCGTCAAATACTATACCCCATCGTCAATATCATCCTCTGGAGCCATTCGTTTGCCTTGAGATTCGTGTTGACATATTTATATATGTACAAATATTAAGAGAAATAATTATAAAGACGTGGATAACGAAGGCTAATTAATATTAAGCGTGGTAAGTTTTTTTTTAAATGAAATTGTTGTGTAATTTCTTTTTTTACCTTCCTTTTATTTTGTGGCTTGTGCTGTTGCTCTGACAACGATTTGCAATCAGTTAGTTAACGTAGGAAAGAAATTGGCTTAGATTTTACCAAGTCAAATTAAGATAATGGCAAATTTAGTGCCCCACAATCCATCATTTTTAACAGATAGTCCTTGAACACAAAAGTTTGTAGAAATGAAGACGCTTGGCATGCTACGATGGAGCTAATCTCATCCTAAAAAAAGTAAGAATGTTTCAAGTTAATTTGTTTTCTTACAAACTTATACTATTAATGCAAACAAAAAAGAAGTTGGTAGTCATCTATAGCACAAATATAAAATGGGATGATTCGACTTGGGAATTAATTTATATTAATAAAAATTTTCTTCAATATGGTCTGATAGTTTTGAACTAGATAACCTTTATATAAATAGCTCTTAAATCATATGTTTCTGTTTTCCTTTTGCTGTTTATTTTTAACTTTTAAGGAGTGGATGACAAGGTTGCAAATGTCATAGGCAATTTGATGTATTTTCTAAGTCAACTTTACTTGCACTTGTATGGGCATGAAACAAATATGTGTCTTGTGCTAGAGAAAATATTATGTGTGCCGTCTGCATATGCAGATAATGGCGTGAATTGATCATGTTAGTCGAATCCACGCTGTTGATCGCACCTAGAGGTGTCCTCACTTAATATTTTCTCCATGTATTTCTTAACCTTGGTTATATTTGATAAAAAATAAATAATATCATCATTTTTACATCATCTTTCATTTAAGTATTTTTAAATTTTATTTAAATTTTTTTAGGATTTAAACATTTTGTTTTCCAAATAAAATCGTAAATTTTAAAGATGATAACTTAGTGTACTTGACTTTACGGAAAGATAATGAAAGTGTTCTCTATAGCGCACATTCAACCCAATAAAAACTTAATTATAAATTTGACCCATTTGGACAGGTTGCTACATATTTTCTTATTCCTCTCATGTATATATATTTGGCTTGGAAGGTTTAATAAACTACACATGCAACGAGCAGGGACCCCAGTGACATCGGCAAGCACATATTAGCTAGGCAAACCGGCCTCTCTAGGAGCCAGGTTGGTTAAAATTGGATATATATATATATATATATATATATATTTTTAAACCTACAATTTTATGCCTTATCATTGTACTACTAATCATTAACTATTCATAAACCCTATAAAACCAACCTTGATCATTTTTATTATGACTTTTAGACAAATTTTAAAACAATGCTTGTTATCTTACACATCAAAATAATCTTCTCTATCACTTCTTACAGGTTTCTAATTGGTTCATCAACGCAAGGGTGCGACTCTGGAAGCCATTGATAGAAGAAATGTACATGGAAGAGATTAAGGAGAGAGAAAATCTACAGGCAGATGGAAAAAACCCTAACCCTAAATCTAACTCTTTACATTAGGATGATAAGGAGCAGAATCTCATTGTTGTAATAGGGACAGAGAGCGATTCTGGGTGTCTCTCCACCATTTTCAACGCAAGGCATCAATCCGAAGAGCATGGTTTCAGTTCCTATAATGGTTATAATTGCATGGAAAACTTCAGTGGAAGTTGAGTTAATTTAACCCTTGGTTTACTGCAACATAAACTGAGGAATCTAAATCTGTGAAATATTCTTCTAAAAGAAGTGCATGATCTACCCTATACAAAGTTAATTTTATGTGGGGAAATTTGCTTCATGACTTTGATGGGTGTATCTACTTGTAAGACATGAAGGGAAATTAAAGCTTTGTTGGGTATTTGTTTTTTTCTGGATAATGTAGGTGAAATAAGCTTACAAGCTTCATAATTCTCCCATGTGCTGCACTGATGTTTTTTTTCTTTTTTTTTTTCTTAAACTGTTTTTTTTTTTTTTAATTTTGCTGTTGTAATATTATAATGCTGAAAATATGCATTAAATAATGTAAATTATTACTTTAAAAAACCTGAGCTATGGTTGACTAGTGATTTTGCTTGCGCAAACCTTCACTACATGATTGTTGCCTATTTCCGACGGCCTTATTTAGTTTGTTATCGGCAGAAAAACTTTCGCTTATTTCATTTTTTATGATTTATCGACTATTTTATGGTTGCAACTAAAATATTTTTTTAGTTATTTTTTAACTGACGGAACTTCTGATGGCATTGATTTACCAACGCCATACCAACATAATGTAAATATTCCTTTTGAATAATTTAGAAAGCACAGACTACCATCAGTTTTTGTAAGTTTTATTAACCAATGAGAACATTGTCGGAAACTAGTGATTGGTAAACCGTCACAAAAGTGTCTCTGCTGTCGTTTTATAACACAGGTGTTCCGCCGGTTCGGCGTCGAGGGTGTGTCAATAAACTAACCAACGAGAAGACCACCGGTTAGTTGTTTGTTTGTATCGAAGTAATATTCGTCGAATCCTCGCTGATAACTCGATGTAAATAGAACCGATGGTATAAACCGTCGGTTATGAGGAATAATAATTGAATAGCCATTGCAACAAGATGGTAAGCCGTCAGAAACATGTAACATCAACCAAAAAAAAAAAGATTGATTCCCACTTTTGTATTTTTGATTATTTTTGATTACCACACCTGCAAACACAACACAACTAAACCAATCCATGTATTTAACAGTCTAAAATCGCATTTGAATAGGAAATTATCAAGTCAAACAATTAAATATGTGAAATGCATTTAGTTTTAACAAAAAAAGACCTTTATTCAGTAAGAATATATATGCTCAATTGTTCAACATAATCATATACAACTCAATCTCCTCCTCATCATCTTCCTCCATCACCTCCTCCTTTCCAATAGTTTCTTCCTACGCTTCTTCGTCCACTGTCGAAATGCATCCAAGTCGCTCTTCAACTTGGCCTTCATGTTTGCCTCTAGCTCTGGCCTCATCTGAGCAAAGCAGGCCTCCATCTCCATAACAAATGCGGCAACTCGTCTGGAGATCTTCTCCTCCTGTGTGGTAGACATGAAATTGCAAATGCATTAGTGGAGGGGTGAGCGTCAAAGGCAAATGCTTGTAATTCGAACCGGTAGACATAACCCTTCTTCTTCCCTCCAGCAGCCTCCCTCTATAGGTCGAACTTGAATGGAACGCGATCTTAGATTTTAATACTGCCCAACGTCAGGGATCTGCTCTTCCTCATCTGCTGGAATCTCTCCTACCAAAAAAATTAGTTACGTCAGTTAGAGCTAGTATAAATAAATATCAAACTAGTTTAGCTCGTGAATTAACTAAGCCGCATAGTATATGTCGTTGATCCACGACTAGTCCGACTGCCTCTTATTGGTGCATTCATGTATATCGGTAGCGGAGGTCTCTCGTCTAAATGTCACAGTATGTTAATGTAATGAAATGTTAGAATATATATTTCATTTATAGTAAAATTTAAAGCAGAAATGGAATCTTACCAGCCTTCACTTATATTTTGTGCATGAGAGCGCCTTACCCATGTGCTTGGAGGGTCCCATGCCTCCACAGTCTGAGCGTCGGCTCTGCTTTGCTACTCCCTCTTCCCATGCCCTTAGCAACGACGCAAGAACATCATCATCGAGCAACAAGAGACGCTGCCAAAATTTTCGAATATCGTCAAACATGTCCACTAAGCAGTCATTGCCCTTGCGCTCAAAGTTGTGACATATGTGTTCTTCGTGCTTACGGTGCCATAAGAATTGTTTCTATAAAATTATAAGGATTATGCTAGATTGATAAATATATAAATATAACTTAAGATATTTTGTAAATGATATATACTGCAAGCTCCTTGAACCAAAAGTTTCGAATTGTCTTCGAGATCTTCTTTTAGGACAATTACATTGAGTTTTATTGCTTCACATGACATTCATAATGACATGAATAACTTGTATCGACCTGAAAACAACAAATGATTAGTTTTCTATTCAATTAAAAAAATAAAGAATTATTATGAATATCTTAATAATACTTACGTGTTGATGGCAGATTCATTGTGATAGTTGTTGCTTGTCGACTCCTACTTAGTAGATGCAGTGTGAGCCTCCACCAAACTCCTGTCTAATGCAGTCAGGGTGGAGGTATGGTCACAGGGGTGGGGGGACATTCGATAAGGTTCCAAACAAGATACTTGAAAAGTAGGAAACAATGATAAAAAATTAAATCTAAGGCCTAAGTCGAGGTAGGGTGGGGGTGGGGTGGGGGTGAGGGTGGAAAGCGAGCGGTCTCTCCTGGAATGCTTCCTCAAAAGATAATATTGTGCTCCATGCCCATCTGAGCGAGGAGGGAGATCCTCCCTACCTCCAGTTGACATCTGCAACAAAGACAAGAAATTTAATTAATTAGTGCACATAACAAAATATTATGCAATAAACTAAAAATACAACCATACGCAGTAAACATAATGCACAACAGTACACAATAGATAAATAGACAAAACTTTAAAGTGCAAACTACAAACTAGTGAAATTAAAAACACAAAAGTATGCAATAAACTCAAAGACAAAACTTTACAGCAGATACTAAAAGCTATTCAAAATGAAAATGAAAATGAAATAGATAAGTACTAGATAGTCGAATGAGAAACTTTAAAGTGCAAGACACAAACTTAAGGGACTTAAGCTTAAATTATTTAAAGTAACATACCCATGTTACTCGACATCGTCTGGAGAGTGACAAAAGGATGTAGTCTGAATTTCTTCTTCAGATGCTCATTAGAGTGGTACTCATCACTGAGAGTAATTTCTTCATGTTCTCCACTAGCATCCTCTAGATTAAGTTCATCATCAACGGGATCAAGTGAAAAACATAGATCTGACATTTCAATTTCTTGATGAGTGGGTTTAATATTATTCTAAATATCAATGATAGCTCTATGTTTACTTGATATGACAACCACCTAGTCAACTTTAGCTCTTGCTCTATAATGATATCGATAATAGTAAACCTCACTCTCCTGTCGAGTTAGAGTGAAAATATCAAATTTAACATAAATTATGTTCACTTTCACTTAATCGATATTATATGATTGGTTTACCCTTGTTCCACGATTAGTAATAAGATCGAACCAATCACATTTGAATAGGAATACACTTCCTCTAATACAGCCATGATAAGATAGTTCAAGAACTTCTTCGAGGATCCCATAATAGTTTGTCACATTGATTGATTTATTATTATTTTTATAATAAACACTAGAATTACAAGTCATTTTTCTTTCAGACCAGGATCTCGTGTGCAATAAGTACCCATTCAAATCATAAATTTGTCAGATTTTCACGATTTGCATAGGTCCCCAAGCAAGATCATCACATACTTTAACCCTGATCGGTTACTGCATTTTTTTAATCATGAATGTATTAATACATGAGAAATCATGTGTTAATGAAAATTCACATATCATATGAGAAATGAAGTTGTCTATTTTAACTTACATGAGCTGTAAGCCATTAGAGGAAATTATTCTCGATCTCCTTGTTGATGTCATCTTCTTCAACTGAATTTAACGAATCCATGAATAAACTGTTCACACATTAAAACATTCTTAAATTAGCTCATCATGATATTTTTCACTCGAAAGAGTGAATAACTATAATAAAAAAATGTCTTGTTCAATAAAGGGTTGAACTTTGTCGGAGTTGAGAAGAATATAAAGTGTCGTTGCTCAAAGTTTTTTATCATTAAGATAATGTGATGTGCACCTACCCGATGTTTCAACTAACAGTTGGAAAATAGAAAGCGTCGATAGAGGCACCAAACCTAATGATTCTTTCGTATATTCTTCTTTCTCGAAATGATAAGAGCAGAATGTCGTAGTCTCCTACAGTAAATATGCTTCACATATCAATCCTTTTGGCTGAAAATTTTTCGTTATAATTCTATTGGCTTTATTCAAAAATCTAAAAAACAAATGTTACTTAGGAGAATTTGACGACATGCTTTATAAATGAGTGATTAGCTACCCAATGTCAAAGTGATTACCTCTCAAACGGATACATCCAGTGGTATTATACTGAACTTCCAAATAATTCCTCGTTGGATAAATCTACATGGAGATGCTCAATCAAGTAAAAAAAAAAACTCGGAGGAAATATTCTCTTAAGTTTGCAAAGTGTTACAGGAATGTTTGCTTCTAGTTGACATACACCGTCAAGTTTCAAATGAGCCGCAAATAGTTCAAATAGTTCCATAAAGAACTAACTATTTTCCATCAATTGACTAAGGACTTCACTCGGCAAATATCAAGATGCGGTTAACATCAAATTTTATAACAAAATATAATAATCATAAATTTTCATTCCAAATATTTTTTCCTCCACCTACATCAACACAACAACTCAAATTTGAATCATACATACTTGGAAATTTTAGTGATTAGAGTCACTCACAATATTTTTTTGGATCTCCAAAACAAGTCTAGCATCCACGTTATCCTTTATTTTCCCTTAACATTCATCAAATTGTTGAAGATATTTTCAAAGAATTTTTTTTCTAAATATTAATTTCAATATATGAATTTAACTTAAATTCAGCCAAAATTCAGCCAAACACCGAAAAAACTAAATGTTAATTTCAACTATTTTTTAATTCATATTTGTTTGTGTTTCAATGTTTTTCGAATCAATGTTCAACAGATCAATGATTTTTCTACAGAGCCATTATCACTAGGATATTAAACGATCCGATTTCGAGCCGAGCTGATGTCAACTTAAAAGAAATTTGATCCAAAATTTTAACTGATAGCTCGATGTGTTTATTTCTATCCAAGTTTCATGTACAACCCAAAATTCAAATCAATTTCCGAGCGATTATCATTATTCGAGCTAAATTTATAGCCCTACCATTCACACCACCTAATTTTTACGCACCGCCAAAAAAACATATTGTTGTCTGTATATTTATTCAGACAAACTACAATACTAAACTAGTAATATTTTTGTTTGATATCAAAGATTTTAATTGTACCACTTAATTTCTCAATCTCCTTGTTACATACGCAAATACATAGGAATTTGGTGATATCAATGTAAATGCCCCAATTGAACCATAGGAATATTTACAAACATACCACTCAATTACTATGAAAGCCTCATAACACCTATACTTATCCAAACGTTCCCACATTACATTTATTTGTGCAAATGTGCCTAAAAATCCATTTTCGCCAAAATTATAACATAGCTAATGAGAGATAATTTCTATGCTTAAAACTTGTAATTAAACTATAGAAATACTACTAACATACCAAATAGTTTTTAAGCATTTAGGCCCGATTTAGGGCAGTGCGGACCGTGTTTCCAAAAGGACGTCGTCCAGTTTTGTAAGAGCGTTCGCGCTGCGTTTTGAGAACGACCTATTTAGGGTTTGTTTGGCGCAGCTGCAGATTGTCAGCTTTTCAGCTGCAGCTGCGCTGCCCCAGGAAGCAGCTGTGGAGAAGCGAGGAGCAGCT